ATATAATTCAATAATGTTTTGAACTTCTAAAATATTGCATGGTGAAAACAGAAGCTGATCTTCATTTTAGTGACAAACTTTGGTGTTTTTTGATGAGTTACCTTCATTTTTGCTTCTACTTTTCATTTAAAATAAGTTTCCATTCTCAGCAGATTGCTAAGGTTCTTCTTCTACGTATTATAAAAGTTGTTAAACAGAGTGGCGCAATACTGCTACTAGTGGTGAGAAAGTGTGTTGCACCTTATTCAAAATCAATGCGGTCCCACGTCCCTCTGCGGCCCAAAGTTAAAAATTGTTGTTCTTTTGAGACCCTGAAGGTGGCGCTCGCGGGCCATGGGTTAAGAATCTCTGTTCTAGCCTGTTTTGTTTGCTAACTGGCAGACAACTCTCTTCAAATCTTTCAAACAGTGCTGGAGAAAAGTAAGAAAAAGCTTGCTGMCTCTAGCAAAGCTAGCATTGTTGTACTCATAAAATTAGGATTCTTGACTTACTGTTCCACCCCCAACTTTAGAAAAGTTCATAAAAAATACTTTGATAGCAGAAAATCAAAAATGAGTAAAATTATTAAAATGCAAACACGTCTCTATGGAAAACAATGGGATTTTGTTGACATGATTAAGGAAAACCCAGCCATTTCTGGGCCCCAGTAGCTCAGACTGAGGGTTTCAGCCATTCGCTCTATGTGCAGGCAAACTTACGCTATTACAGTTTTGATCACAATGTCTTTAATCTTCTCCCAAATCAGGGCTGTGTTGATGCTTTTGGACCCAAGATACTGCCACAGAGCCTTCAAAGCCCTAAGAACACACAAGTTTCACTTTTAACAACACCCCGAAACCAGAAACTGTTTTCAAACTGAAAATTTCCCTTCACCCCCCTCCCAGTCCACAACCGTTACCATTTGTGTCCTTGGCAGGCCTTATCGTCGCTGTTCGTCTGATACTCAGAGTTTTTCTTATTGACACTGTAGTTGGTCAGGTGCATAAACTTGTTACTCAGAGTCTTCATTGAAGACGAATACCTGGAAAAGCACAAAGCAATCGTCAAAAGAAACGTTGGCATAATTTCCATTTCACAATAAAAGTTTGTGAGCGTCGTGAACGTGCTTGAGTCTTACTTGCAACTGGCGAAGCGAACCAGTCCATCAGAGAACATGTAGATTCTGAGCGGGTCATAGGATGTCACATAGACATAGATCCTCAAGTCAAACTTGTTCCCACCAATGAGGTAAGGCTTGTGAAGGTACCTGCACACAAACAACCACAACAGAAATGTTTCACAGCAAGAATATTGAGGAAAATGTTAATTAGGCTGTTCAGCTCCAGTTAGCTATGATTAGCTTACTTCTGAACAAGTAGTGGCCTCTTCCTGGGCATCTGATTCCATCTGTGGATAACCTGGATACCTATTCCTCTGGCTGATGCAGGCTGGTAGAAAACACAAAAAGACATTACGTAGGAAAGTAAACATATAAACCATAACTCAATAGTTGGTAGGGCTGCAGCTAATGACTATTTTGATTGTCAACTAATCTGCAATTATATTTTGATTAAACTGACTACTCAACATCCATCTGTCCTTTGCCAGCTCTATTACACATCTCATCGTACCCGTGAACGTTACCTTGTTATTGTCTCTATCTTAACATATGTTCCCACAGCAAAAAAAACAAAAAACAAAAAAAAAAAACATTAAACATATGACTTTGTACCTCAAACTAAGGGTGTATTCAGACCAGGAAAGTCCTTTGGTCCAATTGCTTGGTCCGGACCAAAAACTGACTTTTTTTTTTCGTTTGGTGCGGTTTGCATTCACATTGTGCTTTT